TAACAATCCATATGTCGATTATGTGGGTCAGTGTATGAGTTATATACAGTGAACCAAACAAAAGGTTGTACAGTGAGGAATGTTTTGACTTTGAAAGGACTTTTCTTTCAAACTATTTCAGCTTTTAAGCTGCAACCAGAAGTAACAATATGAGAATTTTATGTATTTTTCGTGCTCTCATAAAAATTTTAACAATAAATCAATTTTTATGTTAACGATTACAAAAAATTTAAATATATTCTTATTGAGCAGACAAAAAAAAATTGTACATTTACGATGGCACCACTTTAAATGCAGTTATCAAGTAGGTACATTAATTTTTGTCTGGTGTTATTAACGTATGGTCAAAAAGTCAAAATTTATTATTTGATAAGCGAATTAATTTCGTGCGTTTGTAGTTATTGAAGAAAAAATGGTGAATGAACAAACATCTCAAGATTTACAGGCTCAGGTAGTCAAATTTGGCAAGAGAACAAAAGTACTCTCGAAATAGGCAATAAAAATTTTGTACGCCCCGCCTGAAAGCAAAGTTGGTCTGAGTATTAAGGAATACCCCATAATATCCGGTGTCGCTTACCCTAAGGAGTTGGAAAAAGGTGGCATCGCAAAACTCCACCCTCAAACTGTTAAGAACTTCTTGATTTCACCCGATTTTAGATTGTATAAACCACGAAACAATGCACAATTATCGAAGAGAAACATTGCGAAACGTTTGCTATATTTTAACGAGTATTTGGATCTGATGGGCGTCGATTTGTATGGCTAAAGGTGGGCTTAGCGCTAAAAGATAAAAAAATTATATACATACTTAGGTATGTTAGCAGGGAGGAAACTCCATTGTGTGATGCAATGGAGGCATAAGGGGTGTTATGGGAGCGAGCAAATGGAGTCGGAAATAATGTAAAAAATGAAGCATTCTGCTCTGCTACCACATTCTCCTCAGAGTCCAGACTTTAATCCCATTGAACACCTGTGGGTCTATATGGAGACAAAGTTACGAGAGCGCACAGTCAATAGCAAAAATGAGGTTAAGGCTGCTCTTCAGGAAATATGGGCTAATATACCTAAATATACCACTCTATAAATAAAAGACTGCAAACCATGATAGAGGGCAAAGGTGTACATAAAAAGTATTAAATTTCCTTGAAAAGTGCTAAGCTGTCAATTTATGAAAACCGTACAAGTTTTTTTTTCGAAAATGGAATTATTTTGGATTTTAGAAAAAACTGGATTTTTAAAAATAAATTTCAATTACATTATCAAATTTTTAATAATTTGGGAAATAAGTCACTTCAAAGACAAACCATCTCCTTTTACAAGTTTTTTTTTTTTTGGTTCACTGTATATACATATGTACACATATTATTGCTTGAAAATAGTACGTTCACAATAATACCCGAGCAACGTCAAAAGTTAGTGACCCAGACCTTTTTCTGAGAGTAAGGAGTTGGTGTAGACCTTGGTCTAAGCCTCATATCCCTCATATAATGAATTTCGATCCTTTAGTTAGCATTTCTCACATTAACTCAATATATGTTTTTAATTTAGCCTATTTGTTTGAGTTTATGTCACATATATCTAATTTAAGGATGATTTTAATATTGTATAATTTTCCCTGACGGGATGTAAAATATACACCCTAAATTTGCCTTTCCTTACGTGTTTTGTTTTATACTCAATGAAAAACTTTACAAATTGCCACAAAATATCCTTGACAAAGAATTGATATAATATTCGACCAATATCAATAAAATATAACGAAAGATCTTTACGGCATGAAGCCGTTCAAATGCAGTATATAATTTCGAGACCTGAACAAGAGAGACCATTAAAATTTTTTTACATGATTTTATTCTATTTGGCACGATTTAAAATTTGTTGGGTTTAAATTTGATTTGTCAGATTTAATTTTGCGAAATATGTTGTTCATAACACAAATGTAGAAGAATGCTCTTTTTGTAGATAGTTTACTGCTCAGAGACATTGTAAATAGCAAAAATTTAGGGGAATTTCCTTTTTATGCATACATGCAAATTTGAAATGTGTTAATATTTTGTAAACTATTAATGCAATCGGAAGTGCTTAGTAAAGAAATATTATATTTTATAGGCAAGTTTGCTTTGAGAGAATATTATTTTTTCGGTAAATGTATAGTTTAGGTACCCCACATAAGGAGGCCTCAAATATGATTTTTTTTTTTAAATCGTCTAATTTTTACGCGTAGATTACAAATCCGTGAGCGGAAAGTGAATTTTTTCAATAATTTGTGTATATTTTTCAATATTTATTTACACACTTTGCACATATCACATATTCAAGTCCCTTAGTTGTTGTTGTTGTTGTAGCGGCAAAATTCTGTAGAATTCAGAGCACTTAGCTGTAATTACCAGTTCAGTGTGTTTAACATTTTCGTATGAAAAAAATATACTGAAGAATTACCAGTTTAGTGTGTTAAACATTTTCTTATAAAAAAAATATACTGAAGAAATGTAATAGTCAAAATTTCTTTTGTGCTTTTTCTATTGTTCTTCTGTCTTGTTCTGGCGGCCTTCGGCCGCGCTTCAAAAAAATAACCCTGGTCGGTCCTAAATCGGGGTGTTCATAATTCAATCGCGTCAAACTCCTTTCTGCACAATCACCAGCGAAAAGGATTTTGACGCGATTGAATTATGAACACCTCGGTTCTGGACCGACCAGGGTTATTTTTTTGAAGCGCGGCCGAAGGCTGCCAGTGTGGAAAGGAGTTCGACGATCTCCGATATTCGTCCATACCATCATCATTATCGAATCTGTTCTTTCACAATAAAATGTCCAACATATTGGACGAGGGACACTAATAAATTGTACGATTTTTTGGAATACCATGGTTGCATAATCAGAACAATAAACGGTTCATGTTGTGGAGAATTATGCACACTTAGCTCGAAAGGAACAAAAGACGAATTGTTCTTTCGCTGTCGCAAAAGTCGGGAAGTTGTGAAAAATAAAAAAATAAAAATTCGAGTTAAATGTAATTTCACACAATCATTACGGAAAAAGTCGTACTTTTCAGGGACACATTTACCGATATCTGAAATTTGCAAACTTGCTTGTTTTGTTCTTTTGAATCCCAAAAGTAAAATTCTTGTTTTGGAAAATGAAATGCAATTGACGCGCGTTACAATTTGTGATTGGTTAAGTTTTATGAGGGAAGTATTTTTGGATTGGCTAGCGGCAGAGAATACGGAAAATATTGGTGGTCTAGGAAAAATCGTAGAAATCAACGAAACCAAAGTGGGTAAACGAAAAAATAATTGCGGTAGAATAATTGAAGGACAGTGGATTTTTGGAGGTATTGAACGTGGATCAGAAAAGTTTTTCGCTATTCCCGAAAAAGATAGAATCTCTGTAAATCTGGAACAATAATTTTAGAAAATATACACGATGGAACAACTATTATATCAGACTGTTGGGCGTCTTACAGAAGTTTAAGCAAAAAAAGTTTTCAATATTTACCCGTTAACCATAAATATAACTTCGTAGATCCGGAGTCAAAAGCCCATACGCAAAATATTGAGAGACTTTGGCGGAACTTGAAGGATAGAATACCCAAGTATGGACGGCGAAAAGAATACTATTTGGGATATTTGGCGGAATTTAATTTCAGAAAACGATTTCCACGACACATTAAACGAAGTTCTTTTTGGCTGCTGGTCGCTTATATAATCCGAGAAAAGATCTCAACCTCGATGATAATTTTCATCACGATGCAGAGTATGAGTAATTATTAATATCACAATAAAAGTGCACTAACATTGATATTTAAATAAACATTTTCAGAAACGTTTATGAAGAAGAGTAAATACACCAAAAAACTTGAACAATATGTGATTTTTCAAAGATAAAAATAAAACAATTAATTTAAATGTATCACAATTTTTTACTTTTAATGCATATTTATAAAAAAAATATCGTTTTTTTTTATGAAAAAATTAAACAAAAAAATAGATATATTGAAAAAATTCACTATCCGCTCACGGATTTGTAGTCTACGAGTAAAAATAAAACGATTTAAAAAAAAAATTTTCAGATTTAAGGCCTCCTTAGTTGGTGGACGTAAACTATACATTTACCAGATAAACATTGAAAGTTTTTCTTAAAAAATCCTTATTTTCCACAATTTTAAAACGTTTCAAAAATAAAGAATATGAAATTTGCAAGTTTAATAAGCTCTTCTGTGTACCAAGTGGGATTACTGTTAGTTTTCATACAATCCGTGGATATTAAAACTAAAATATACGTCGAATATAAATGTCCTCAAAATATGTATGTGCAAAATAGAAACTTAAAAATTGAGGTTGCATAAAATCAGTTAAATTTGAAATTTTGTTCATGATACTCTTATCCAAATATATTATTGGTTCATATGTATGTAGTTAGCGGAGATCTTTTTTTTTAAGTATGCTCTTCAAATGTTAATTTAAAAGCACGATTTCTTTGCCGCAAGATCTGATAGTATGGGCAGATAGAGAAAGTCCTCAGGATTAATAAATGAACACACTTAGTTTTCCCGTCTCAAACTTATAGTTTTCGAGATATTTGTATTTAAGGGTAAAGGTAATGCTCGCTATTTCGCTCCGTTTAACACTTTTTGCACATGTTCTTTTGAGTTGAACTAGTTTCTCCACTGAGGGCCTTCGGCCGTGCTTCAAAAAATAGTCTTGGTCGGTCCAACACAAATTTTAGATATATTTCAATGTGTGCAGTGTAATTAAAAATATGTCAATGTGTGCAACGTGTGTTTAAACATAGTGAAAGAGCGTGCATTAACTTTAATATTTTTCAACTTTTAATACAAATATCTCGCAAACTATAAGTATGGGGCCGGTGTATGTGTATACACTTTTTAATGCTGAGGACCTCTCTATACATCCACACCATCAAATCGCAGCGCCAAATATATCATAATTTTGCCAATAACTCGATTATGCCGTTAATTCAAAAGGTGTTTTATTACATACTCTAATTCCACTATGGTAGTTTAAAGTTCACATTATCTTCTAGTTTCCTAAGATTATCCAATCTACAATATATGTATAATGCAAGACGTAAACAAAAGCTTAAACGAAGCTCAGATATTGATGGGCAAACTGCGATAAAATATGAACTATTTATCGAAATATCAAGACCATAATCTAAAACTAAAACCATAATCGATCTGTAGCTCCTTTCCATTACATATTGTGCCGATCATGGATGATAGAACAAAATCGAACAGACGATAAAGTGCCCGAAGCAACTAGACAGCGAATTCGTAGTTGCCAGAATGTTCTAGAGGCGGAGTTATGTTAAAGATGTACTATATAAGGGCTGCCAGATTGTGCAGCACACACAGTTCCAGTTAGAGTGTTGTCGTGTTAAGAGCAATTGAGACATAAGCAAGCAGTTGTAAGCTCGAATAACAAGCAATAAGTGCTAAGTTGTTAAAATTAAAAGTAAAGATAAGTGTATAGCCATTAAATTGTGACTTTTTCAATCCAGTGATAGAACTCAAGAGTGAGTTACAAGATAAGGGATATATCGAGAAATCTGTTACAATATTTTTATTAAAGTATTATTATAATCAAATTTCTTCAACCAGTATGCGACCTTCGCATAGATATTTTTTTATAGTCAGTTTTCTTATATAAATTTTTATTATTTTTAGATCGTGTTATTTTAACAAGAAGATTACATATCCGTGAGCGGAGGGGAAATCTTTTCAGTAGCTTATGTACATACATATGTATATATACAAAAGTATATTTAAAACAATTTGCATACATTTTTCAAGTAACTTAGTTGTTGTTGAAGCAGCAGAATTCTGCAAAAATCAAATCACTTAGCTGTTATAACAAGTTGAAGAAAACCGTAAATTTCTTGTGAAAAAAATACTGAACAAATGTAACAGGCGCGATTACGATTTCTTTTGCTCCGCGATTTGAGGGTATGGACAAATAGAGGAAATCGTCAAGCGCCTTTCTGCTTTGGTGGCCTTCGGCTGTGCTTCAGAACCTGGAAGGAAAATAAGAATTATTAAAAAAGTGGACTTTCCGCTCACAGATTTATAATCTTCGCGTCAAAATAAAAAGATTAAAAAAAAACTATAACTTTCGAGGCCTCTTTCTTTGGGGTACTCAAACTATATATTTACTAAAAATATATGCATATGGAGCAAATTCCTAAACAATATTCAATTACTAATCTTATAATATTTTTTAACTTTTCCTGCAATTAGCATACACAAAAATACAAGATTTTCGTACCTATTATCTGAATATTAATTTACTCATGTACAGAAATTAACCTCTGTATTAACATTGAGAATATTATCACAAAATAAATAAGAATTCATGATCATAGATCGACTTTAACTTTAAGTAAAACCGAGTAATAATTAATGGATAAATTAAAACCAAAAATATTAAAATTTCCACATTTTGATAATGATATTGGCTCAATATATAAAAACTAAAACATTGCAGGATTTATTAAACTAACAATCGAGTCTGTGTCAAAATTAAAACAATTACATGTATTTAATTTCAGTTTGTGGATCAGGTTAACCAAAAATTTAACGTACTATGTTTAAATAATTAATATCTTAAAAATAACTGTTGTTTAAATTAGTTCCATTAGTTCAGGATAACCAAAACCTCTAAGGATATATGCCAAACGGTAGAAAAAATAAAAAATCTGACAGATGTAAGTAAAATTTTGACATTTTTCGGGGTGAATCTGAACGTCAGCTCAAGAGCTATGTAAAATTTCGACAGCTTATAAATATGTATACATTCAGGAAGAGAGGAATTTAAATTGCAAAACATAATGTTATGAATTAGTAAGATGTCTTTTAATAGTATTGTTATATATGTATGTATTCAGTTCAAAGGGAATTATGTAGAAAGGTTAATTTAAATAATGAATATACTATAAGAAAAATGCTTTATTAGCTTTATTTACATTTAAAAACCATTTATATTAACGAAAGTTTGGATATGTTACAAGTCTCACTGTAGGAGAACCTCCACTATAAACCAGTTTTAAAGACTTACTTACAGAAAAGATAGGGGTTTCTTCCTTTTTTTCAATTAATAAAGGGTAAATTTAATGGTATATGTTTATTATCGTTTGAAAAAACGTTCTTTGGCATTTATTATCTCTTTCAAATGTTGGCCGCGGCTACGTCTCAGATGTTCCACCAGTTGAGTCCAATTTTCGATGACCCGTTGGAGCATTTCGACATGTAACTGGAGAATGACATGCGTGATGTTTTATTTCAAGGCCTGAATCGAAGCGGGATTGTCCGCATAAACTTTAGACTTTATATATCCCCACAGAAAAAGTTCTACCGGTGTGACATTCAACGATCTTGGTGGCTAATCGACCGGCCCTAAACGTGAAATTATCTACTCGTATGTGTCATATATCAAATGCAAGTAGTATAGATATAGAAGAAACCTAGCACGTTGTCTAAAGTTCTCAAACAGTAATAAGCCCATACACAAATGCAAATTTCTAGTTTCGTTAATATTATTATTCACAAAGCAAAGTATTTTCGTAAATTTGTATTTATTTGACAAATATATTTAATAATTTTATTAATAAGACAAACATTTTAAAGGCGTAATTGCATTTGTCTTGAATTTAAATTGTCAAAATTTTACTTTTCCGTATAAAGTTCAAATGAGATATAGGTAAGAAGCTGTAAGCTCAGGATAATGAGTAATAAAGCGTTAAGTTGTTGAAATTAGAAATAAAAATAACGATCATTGGAAAGAGTTACAAAATAGACGATTTACTGAGAAATCCGGTACTTTTTTGTTAACGTTTTGAACTCAACTTATTCTTTTTGAAATTTACGTGATTAACTTTTTACTTTGATTGCCTTCTCTGTCACCAAAGGTGCTGCTCTGGCTCTACGAAACCGTAGTCAAGCCAATATTGTTCTATGGTGTGTTCGTCTGGTGGAGGGCACTCGAAAAGACTACCCTGGTTAAAAAGCTTGAACGAGTCCAAAGAGAGGCGCTCATCGGAATCTCCGGTGCACTGCGAACCACACCAACGATTGTTCTCAACGCCATATTAAATGTAGCACGTGTGGACTTTGCCGGTAGGTGCATTGCTGCGAGGTGTGCTATTAGGCTCAGCGAAGCTGGTATTTAAGAGGTCCGAACAAGGACACGCCACAATTCTCTCCTCCTTCAGCTGCATTCCTGAAAATTTGGATCACAGCGGCCACTCGAGGCGGCTTTTTTTCTGATCATATCCCGATGAGAGAGATTTGGAGGGATGCTTTTTCACGGAGCTAGGATCGAAAGTTGGAGCGGGGGTTTCTGTAAAGAGCTCTCCGTCAATCTTTGCTTCAGGCTACCGGACCACTGTAGCGTTTTTCAGGCGGAAGTGACCGCGATCAAGGTGACGGTAGAAGTACTGTTACGAAGTGTAGCTTCGTTTAGAGAGGTGAGCATTCACTCCGACAGTGGAGCGACAATACAAGCCCTGAGTGCGCGAACCATGCATTCAAAGCTAGTCAAGAAGTGTCTGTCCTCACTATAATTAGCATCAGGCTACTTCAATATCAGGCTCGTTTGGGTGCCTGGTCAAGGCCGATGAGCTGGTCAGAGGGGGCACCCTTGCCCCGCTCACATCGGAATGGGATCGAGTTGGTTCTCCACTAACGTTTTGCATTCTGGCTCTCGACCATTGGACCTCGCGTGCGCTCAGTAGACGCTGGTCGACGACCAGCTCCTGCGCGACTGCGCGATTTTTCTCGAGAGTGGATCGCAGGAAGTCGGGATCTTCTCGCCTTGAACAAAGTTTACCTCGCCGCTATGGTAGTTGTCAAAGCATATGGAGGAGGTGAAGTGGAAACATCTCGGCATTTCTTCCACTGTCCGGCTTTGCTAGGTTGAGATTGAAACATCTCGGCAATCACACTTTTGCGGACCAAAAGAGGCGAAACAGATATTGGCCGTCTCAAAAAGCGAACATTTGTAATATTTCAACCGAGAATTCGTAAAATATTAACTTTGTTTTGATTTTAGCAGAAGGGGATCTCTAAAATAAATCCATTTTTGTTAACATTTCTCAATCAGGCAATTTTGATGAGGGGACCAGAGAGAAAAATATGATAGTGATTTTTAAGTTTAGGTAAATTTTAAGTAAATAATATATATACTATGTAATGAAAACAAATTTTTGAACCATTTATTGTAATAATTTATGTATGTATGATATATGCATGTATATGACGTCAATATAGAGTCGAACAAACATTGGTTTGCATCGGCAATTTGATGTCAATGTTATGCCAATATTTATTAATTTTAATATGTATTTATCGTTTAAAAACTTTATGTTGAAGTTTGTGCGTTCATATACATGCAAAGCTTTTAGAAAAATAAAAATATTAACTTACGATTGTGCTATATACATATTGTAACGTTTCTCATCGTCACCTTGTAACTCACTCTTGAGTTCGATCACTGTTAAATACATAAAAATCCCATTAATGCTATACACATATCTTTTTACAATTTCAACAACTTAACCTTTACAACTCATTATTCGAGTTACAACTTATTGCTTATAGCTCAATTGCTCTTTACACAGCAACACTCTAATTAGAACTGTCTTTGCTGCACAATCCGGCAGCCCTTATATAGCAGATTGTTAACTCGAACTCGTACATTCTGGCAACTACGAATTTAATTATCTAGTTGGTTCGAGCAGTTTATCGTCGATTCTGTTCATTAACTCAGTTTTATATTTGCCCGGCACTTCCGAAATCTGAAAGTACACTTCTGTTATTGAGCTTGCGATATTTATGGATTGTGCTATTTCCATTTTGAGGGCACTTGTGCGGATATGCGTGCATCTTGCGCTGCCAACTGCGTTGACAACCGTGTTTCTAACGAAGACAATGTCGATTGTTGTTCCTATATTTTGATGACACCTCTTACGAGCATTGAGTCTCTTCCTTTTCTTCTATCTTTGTAGTCTCTTCTTATAATTCAAATTATAACACATAATCGTTTTCTGCTTGCATGGCCTCTCGTAACGTGATTGTAATAGACAAATGTCTAAGATGTTTACGGAAATGTCAACGCAATATCGATACAGTTTAAAGAGCAAGTTCGCAGCGCAAGCTCATGTATATTAACACTTA